AATCCTAAAATTTGTATGGAACCAGAAAAGACCCCAAATCGTTGAAAAAGAAAAACAAAGCTGGGGGCATCACATTGCCTGATTTCAGGCTGTATTACAAAGCTGTGATCACCAAGACAGCATGGTGCTGACACAGAAGCAGACACATGGATCAATGGAACTGAATAGAGAGCCCAGATATGGACCCTCAACTCTATGGTCAACTAATCTTCAACAAATCAGGGAAAAATATGCAATGAAAAAAAGACAGTCTTTTCAATAAATGATGCTGGGAAAATTGGACAGCTATATACAGAAGAATGAAACTCGAACATTCCCTTACACCATACACAAAGATAAACTCTAAATGGATGAAAGACCTCAATGAGAGACAGGAATCCATCCAAATCCTAGAGGAGAACACAGGCAGTAACCTCTTCGACCTCAGCCACAGCAAATTCTTTCAGGACATGTCTCCAAAGGCAAGGGAAACAAAGGCAAAAATGAACTTCTGGGACTTCATCAAGATAAAATCTTCTGCACAGCAAAGGAAACAATCAACAAAACTAAGAGGCAACCCACGGAATGGGAGAAGATATTTGCAAATGACATTACAGATAAAGGGCTGGTATCCAAGATCTATAAAGAACTTCTCAAACTCAACACCCAAAAAACAAATAACCAGTCAAAAAATGGGCAGAAGACATGGATAGACACTTCTCTGAAGAAGACATAGAAATGGCTAACAGACACATGAAAAAATGTTCAACATCATTAGGCATCAGGAAATTCAAATCAAAACCACATTGAGATACCACCTTACACCAGTTAGAATGGCAAAAATTAACAAGACAGGAAACAACAAATGTTGGAGAGGATGTGGAGAAAGGGGAACCCTCTTACACTGTTGGTGGGAATGCAAGTTGGTACATGCACTTTGGAAAACAGTATGGAGGTTCCTCAAACAGTTAAAAATAGAGCTCCCCTATGACCCAGCAATTGCACTCCTGGGTATTTACCCCAAAGGTACAGATGTAGTGAAAAGAAGGGCCATATGCACCCCAATGTTCATAGCAGCAATGTCCACAATAGCCAAACTGTGAAAGAAGCCAAGATGCCCTTCAAAAGACGAATGGATAAAGAAGATGTGATTCATATATACAATGGAATATTACTCAGCCATCAGAAAGGATGCATACGCACCATTTGCATCAACAAGGATGGAACTAGAGGGGTGGAACATAAGGAATAGCACGGAGGAAACTGGGGGGAAGGAAGGGAAAACTGAAAGGGGAGAAGTCAGAGGGAGAGATGAACCATGAGACACTATGGTCTCGGGAAACAATCTGAGGGTTTCAGAGGGGAGGTGGGTGGGGGATGAGTGATGGTTATTAAGGAAAGTACGTGTTGCAAAGAGCACTGGGTGTTATACACAAATAATGAATCATGGAACACTACATCAAAAACTAATGATGCACTGTATGGTGACTAACATAACATAATTTAAAAAAATAAAACATAAATGGTTAATTTTATGTCATGTGAATTCCAGTTTGATTAAAAGTTCATTTTTTTTTAATTTTTTTTTTAAAGATTTTATTTATTTGACAGAGATAGCGAGAGCAGAAACACAAGGAGAGGGAGTCGGAGAGAGAGAATCAGGCTTCCCACCGAGCCAGGAGCCCAATGTGGGACTCGATCCCAGGACCCTGGGATCATGACCTGAGTCGAAGGCAGACACTTCACGACTGAGACACCCAGGCGCCCTAAAAGTTCATTTTTTAAATAACTAAAAATGTGAGTGATTAATTTCACAGTAGATTTAAAAAATAGGTATTTTCTGATTTTAATATGTTAAAATTTTGAAGCTAAGTCTGCTTATATTATGTAGAAATAACAGTTTCTCTTAGGCTCGCTGCCTCTAATTACCTGAAATTCTGTTACTGAATCTCTCAACATAGTTTCACACACGAAACGGACATGAGGTGAGGGGTGTTACTGTCATATGGATTTGTAAACATAAAGTTATCATGAATAAATAAAAATTAATGTCCAGTTGCCCAAATTAATAAATCCTGACTTCACAAAGATTACCAGGAGACTATATACAACCTTAAGGGTCATATGACCAAGATCAAGGAATAATTTCTAAGGCGTTATTATCAGTAGCACTTAAGGGCAGAAACAATATTTTCCAGTGCCGTAAGATCCATGTGCAGAGGTGGTCAACATAAGAAACAATAATAGCAAGACTATAAAACACCTGAGAACATAACAGTCTTCATGGGTTATGAATAAAAGGATTTCCAGAACTTTACACATTTGGTGGAAAACTGCGTCAAAAGTCATAGTGACGTAAAGTACATGAAATGTAAGAAATTGGCTATGTTTCTATAAAATAAACTTAGATATTTAGGTATTAGTTTAGCATACCAAGAGTAACATGGTGAATCTGGATACGGAAATGATATAACAATAAAGCATCTGAATTGAACTTTAAAATATCTCTATAAAATTCATATAAAACCTAACAAGTCATGTTTAGTAAACTTAAGATATACTATAGAAAAACCAAAATATAAAAGAAATTATTAATGAATTTCTTTGTGTATTTCTGAGGTTGAACACAGTCACTTCATAACAAAAGCATATTCTCAAGATACCCAATATGCTCAATTTTAAAAATCCAAATTCATTCCAATGAGAAAGGTATTCGTCAATAAGCAGGTATTAACTCAAGAAAAACAGATATAGGAAAGATATCTATGATTTTATTTTCACCAAATTCCAGATAAAGGTTTTTGGACTAAGACTGCTCCTCCATATCCCTTAGTACTCAGGAAGGAAATCTTGTAAAATACATGAAACAACATTCATTCCCTGATCAAGCAGTCCCACAAATTACAGGTATAAAACAAAGAACACTGATGAGTGTCATCAAAAACACATAATCAATATTCAAATACATATATAACAAGTTCATTTGTAATACATGGAACCCTGCAGATCAAAGGAACTTTCAACTACAGAAATGCAGTAGAGTTCAATAAGGTAGGCATCATGAACTCATAAATTCCCTTAACACAATAAATCAACATCTTATTTGTTGAAGAAGGAACAATGGCACACACATGGAATGAACACTGTTGCATGAATGATAGTTTGGTCAGCAGTCTCACAGATGAGGATATGAAGGCAGACATTTTTCTCCCTAGAATAAATTCCTGAACTTATTCACGCCAAATTAAGGGGGATGATCCTTACAGTACTCCATCAACATTGCCACAATGTCCTCAAGACACACTTTGGTGACACACCAAAAACCGGAAGGACAACTGGAGCCATAAGCCAGGCTCTCATGCTACACTCAATGTCAGCATCCTGGACCATGCTGACCACACTACTCAGATGCTTCAGGGCCCACGTCTCTACTTAGCAGGATGATGCTCTGACATCTAAATGTATGTGTTCTCCATCCAGAATGTTCTTCTACCCAGTAAAATTCCTCCTGGCAGAGTTCACCACAGTGCCCAGTTGTCCAAAATATGAGGATAAAATTTCAGATGCTAAGGAACTGTATTTCAGAACCAAGAAAATTTCACAGGCAACACCATACAAACTTAGGAGACCAGGAAATCAGGGACAGCCAAGGGTTTCCCACACTCCCAGACTAAGGAGGAGCTACAAGAGGGAGACAAAGACAGGAAATTAAGGAAGGGGGTCTGATGTTGTGGGATGTTCAAACAGGCCTAGGGTCTGCCTACAGACTCCAGGCTGAGGGCCCAAAGCCTGAGATACAGTCCCCTTGAAAGACTGGGAATCAAAGGTCTTCCCCACCCTCTCTATATATAGCACTGCTGAATAGCAATTTCAAAACACCCTTCTATTCCCAGTACACATGCTCCTGAAGGGCGAAAGTGGAAATGAGGATATGGTAGAGGCACGGAATAGGCAGAGGGCCTGAGACAGCCCATGCTCCTGCCTGGAGTCCCAGATGCAAAAGAGCAGCCGATGTTCCCATCATGACAGGTCACTCAGCACATGAAATGGGATGCAAGCTGGAGAAGGCCTGCAGTCAGGACGAAGGGGAGCTTCAGATCAGATCTGTGTGGACTGAGTAGGGAAGGAGAGGCTAAGGAAGGAAAAATACCCCTTACAAAGAGCCCTTCATGTGTTCCCCAAGGTTGAATCAGTAAAGGGCCCTAGGGGGGGCAGGGAACAGCATGTCTGGGTCATGTTAAATACTGCCCTTGTCGCTACAAGAGCAGCAGAACCACCGAGGAGGGCAGGAAACACACATACAAAGAAGAGAGTGAAGGAGAGGGAGAACAACAAGTTCCTTTGAGAGCCCATGAGAAATCAACTCTTCTTTTCCAACCACCTCTCCTATCCGGGGGGAATGTTCCAAATGACATTTCTGGAAGTCACTTTCTCTCTGCCATCTATCCCTACTTGTGTTCACATCTTTGACACCTTCCCACCCACCTGGGCTTTGTTGCTTGTTTTACCCCACTCTTAGCATTTCAGAGCAAGTACTCTCCACAGTGGAGATAATATTCAGCTCAGAAAGAGATTCCTGCTGATATGGAAAACAGCAGATGATGTCCTGGGGTTTTCCCAGTCCTTTGTCAGCTGAGACCAAGGACATTCATTACAGGCGGGTCTAGAATAGCATTTCACAAATTTGTTCAGTGACATTCTTCTTCCTAATGCTTGAATGTTTGACATATACAGATATCCAGCTCTCTTCCCACAACGACCAAATCAAAATTACGGGTGTAAAACCAGGGGATGTGGTATTTTAAAGTTTTGACATAAGGTCTTGTTCCTTCTAGCACCACCACTACCTGCATGATCATCTGCGTTTAAAATCCAGACCCCACATTGGGAAGCTTTTCATTTCTGAATCAGCAGGGCTTCGATCTCAGTCAAGCAGGAAAGGGGCTCCCAAGAAATCCCCAAGAAAAACACAAAGATACACCAGAGCAGTACCCAACCTCTGTAGGGAAACTAATCCTCACCCAGGAAGACCAGGTTCCTGTAGTTCTCCACCATCACGTCCCTGTACAAGGCCCTCTGAGCAGGGTCCAGGCACTCCCACTCCTCCTGAGAGAATTCTATGGCCACATCCCTGAAGGTCAAGCGTCCCTGAAATGAAAGCACATTTCACCAAGAGGCCATAAGAAGAGTACTTATTTCACAAAAATGAGAGGAGGAAAGAGGTAGAAGGGTCAATTAGACAGAAATAAATAATCAGATAAATACATTAAAGATAATTTTGAGCAATATGGATTTGTTCCACTTTTCCATCAGGGAATTTCCATCAGCTAAACTACTGAATTTTATAATACTATGCCAGGTAAAACAGACAAATGAAAAAACGTCAACAAATGGTAGACTATATGTAGGTTCTAAATAGTATGTTGTATACACCACATGACAGCTAATTTCTACATAAGCTAGAGCATGAATTAGGTCTTCAGGGATGACCAAATGCATAGCAGTGTCAATGAAGGATGAAAACTGGAAAAATGGAAGCTGATGAGAACCAAGCGGACTAAAAGTTTTGAACACTCCCCATATGGTAAGCATTACTCTAATGCTTTGCAAGTGTTAACTTGTTTAAAGACATAGCATCCCATTAAATTAGTATTTGTTCCCATCTTACACAGGACCAACTCTGTCACACACACTCTAAGGAATGTGCCTCTGGTCAAACAGGTAATAAATGGCGGAGCCTGCACCTGAACCAAGTGGTCAGGCTTTAGGATAGAACTCGCAGCAATCAGAGAGTAAAGTAATAGATACAACAGTAAAAGTCTGTTGACAGAGGGTTTTCTAATGGAGAAAACATGAAACAAGTTCAAGGTTGAAACATAAGCCTGGATAAAAGGTCAACATATCTGCATGCACACACACATGCATAAACATAGTTAGTATTCTTACTGCTATTTATTTATTTATTTATGTGGTGGTGTAGAAAAAATTTAAGGCCATGAAAAATATTTCAAACAGGGCGCCTGGGTGGCTCAGTTGGTTAAGCGACTGCCTTCGGCTCAGGTCATGATCCTGGAGTCCCTGGATCGAGTCCCGCATCGGCTCCCTGCTCGGCAGGGAGTCTGCTTCTCCCTCTGACCCTCCCGACCCTCCCCCTTCTCATGTGCTCTCTCTCTCAGTCTCTCTCTCTCAAATAAATAAATAAAATCTTAAAAAAAAAAAATTTTCAAACATACTTTCAAAGTTAAAATAAAATTTATTTATGAAATGATGACATCTTTTTACATACTATAGGCTCCTGCCCATACACATGTGTGCACACGTAAACACACACTGAAAGTAACTGAAATCAAAGCTGGAGTCTCTAAATGACATCTATTTTTAGAATAAATCTTCATTATCTCTCATTTTTTACTCATGTGCATTTCAGTATTTCTGGTACAATAAATGTGAATAAATTGTATTAAATGGAAATAAAATTGTCAATGTTATTCTATTTAGTCTGCTTACAAAAACAACCCTGCAAAAAATTTTTTTAACATAACATTTAACTTCGATCTCCATTAAATAGATATATGGAAATGTATGAGCTGGAATCTGCAGGCAGATAGAGGGGCTGAGGGCAGGTCCTGGGGTGAGCATGAGCAAACATGTCAGGAGGGACACTTCAGAGTGTGAGAAGCCCAGCCACGTGGAGGTGAGGACACAAGATGACAGAACAAGGAACTGAGATATGACTTTACCTGAGAATGAGTCATTCCTGACTCTCTGGGCTTTCCTCCTCTCCCTCCTCTGGGCTTCTCTGCCAGGCAAGATGGGTCTTGAGACGTCAATCCTGAGTGTCAAATATATGCTGTTTAGAACTTGGTCAACATACACCTTCCTGTACCACAACCACACACACAGGGAGATCCCCCCGCTCTGCTGCCCACTGCCACAGGAGGGATTCAGGGACAGTGTACTGCTACATGGAGACCAGCAAGTGAGTGTTGTGACCTCTTCCTGCAGAACTCACTCCCCTCCTGGGGAAGCACACACGAGCTGCAGCAGTGGGGATCTGGGCTGCACTAACCCTCCCTTTAAAGTCACAGACCCGCCCTGATAACACTCCATGTAGAGAACAAACCCCCTCACCTCTCTCGAGATCAGGGGCTGCTTTTAGTTCTCATTAATGGATGAGCTGGAGTCCTGGTGCTCAATGCTGGATATAGATTAGAATCAGCTGGGGCACTTTCAACACCACTGAGGCTGAGCCCCATAACCCCAAACACAAGAAGAGAAATCTCTGGGGACTGGGCACAGGAGGAATGTGCAAAATGCCTCACAATCCCATGGGAAGTCAGGGTGGAGCACCAGAGGAGACCAGCCCAGCACCCCACCCACCTGTGGCTCTGCTCCCTCCTAGGGCCCTGTCCCCATATCCAGACAGTGGAAGAGCAAGGAGCAGAGAGACCCATGCAGAGCAGGCATTACACGCCAGAGTAGGATGCTCATGTGAGGCTGGAATGGGACATGGCAGTGTCCCAATGGGCCATCAGAGATGGCCCCACGAGAAGGTGATATCACAACCAATACCTAGTGCACCACCTGCATTTGAAGAGTCAGAGAATTCTAGACAGAGGGACCACCTTTGGGAAAGCCCTGGAGTAGTGCTGACCCTGGCCTCAAGAACAGCAAAGACATCTGTGGGCCTCAATCCCAGTGAGGGAGGGGGAGACAAGCAGGGGATCAGGTCACAGAAATAGATCAGGAATGTCCAGCCATGGTCTTCAGACAATGTTCTCCTCCAACTCAAGTGAATTTTGGAAGCCCTGTACTCTCCCACCCATACTGTCTTTTTTTTTTTCTTTTCCACTCCTTAAGGGAAAACACACATGGATAATGTAATATACCGTATATTCTGAAAATATGCTGTGTATTTTGATGGTCACCAAAGCTCCAGGAAGATGGCACTGCTCTTTTCTGGGAGGTGGAGGACTGCAAGGAACACAACTGGAGGAGTTCAGGAGGTCATGTTTGGACACCGTAGGTGGAGATGTCCCAGCAGAGATGTCAAGGAGACAAGTGGACAACACAAACCGTTCAGGGCAGAGGTCTAAGATGGACTGTGAATCTGGGAGACCCCTAGGTATTTAAAGCAATGATATATGGTCACATGGAAAGTCACTGGGTATAGAGAAGAGAAGAGGTCCATGACTATTCTGTGGGGTGCTCTTCCAATCAGAGAGCAGGGAGTTAAGGAAAAATCAGGAGAGGGTGGAGAGAAGAAAACTGAAACAGACGCACCGATGATAGATAAGATTTTTCATAGCCATGAAAAAACATGTTTAAAGTAAGGAGTGATCACTGTTCAACATGTTGCTGATCAAAGACAGTGAATTAACCAGGAGATTTAGAAAATGTAAAAATACCTGATCACTTTCCTGTTTACAATTTCTTGGGGTATGTACCCACCATAATTCTATGTTTACTTTTTTAAAGAAATCACTAACTTTTTTTTATGGGAATGCACCATTTACAGTGCTTGGGGCAGTGTACAATACTTTTAGTTTCACCCCATTCTCCAGGGCTTGTTCTTTTCTGAGCCATACCCCTTTTTTGAATATAGTCACACAACTGGGTATGAAGCAGTATCACCCTGTGGTTTTGATGTGCAGTCCCCTAATGATTAGGATCATTGAGCATGTTTGCATGAGCTTATTGGCCATCCATCTGTGTATCTTCTCTGAAGAAATGTCTATTGTGGTCTTTTGCCAACTTTTTTACCATTTACCTATTTTTCTTTTGTTGTCTTGCTTTCCACTGTCATACCCAGGAGTCTGGATTTTTTTCATGCGGGTGATGGGAAGCCAATGGAGAATTAAATGCTGGGAACTGACATGATCTAACTTCAGATTTACTCTATGTAAATTTATTCTCTGGCTCTGAGCTACGCCTTGCCTCTTTCCTCACAGTATTTTTTGTTGTTGTTGGGCTAGGCCCAACTTAATTTTCTAATTACAACTGGTAACCCTCCAGCAGAAAAATGCCACACAGACACACATGCAAAATTTCAATCACTTTAGGGATCGTGGTCACTCAGATTTCCTGCTCTTGTACTTCATCTCCATGACTGAGGCCTAAGAGGGAAGCCTTTTCACAAGTTACCTTGAGAACATGAGTTCAGTGAGAACTGCATGTAACTGGAATTTTGAAAGGGTGGCCTAAATGAAGCATGGGGCACTTTGTCTTTATCCTTATCATCTCAACTCCTTTTCAAAAATTCAAAGATCAGGGTGCCTGGCTGGCTCAGTAGGTACAGCATGAGACTCTATCTCAGGATTGGGAGATCAAGCCCCACACTGGGTGTGGAGCTCACTTAAATAAGTAAGTTAAGTAAGTAAGTAAATAAAAATAAATAAAGTGCACTCCTTAAAATAAAAAATAACATTAGAAAAGAAAAATTCCAGGATCATCCAAAATATGCCTGACCAAAAGAAACTTCTTTTGTTGTTTTAATCAATGGGGAAATATTTATTTATTTTTAAAGATTCCACTTACTTATATGAGAGAGAGAGCAAGCAAGGAGAGGGAGGGAGAGGGAGAAGCAGACTCCCCGCTGAGGAGGGAGCCCAAGATGGGGCTAGATCTCAGGATCCCAGGATCATGACCTGAGTGGAAGGCAGAGGCCCAGCTAGCCGACTGAGCCACCCAGGTGCCCCATCAATGGGGAAATATTTTAAACATATAAAATGATAAACACAGAGATTTAGTACTGAACACTTTGAAAGAGAATCAGCTACAGAAGTAAGCTCTGAGCATATTAACTTACCATGAATAGGTCAGTTCTACTGGAACAAAGTTCAGAGTCAATCCAGCCCACCTTCAATATGTTCATACAATGGACCTGAGGGACCTGAAGGGACATCTCCTTTGGAGCTGACACCTCACTAAGTAGACAAATGACATCAAGGAAGAAGAGACCCTGTGGAATATTACACTAACTTACTAAACTAGGTTGTGACTGTTAAGATTATGGGCACCCTTACCAGATTCACACTGAAATAGTCCAGAGTTATTTACTAACTACCAAACAATGTTCCAATATATGATGATGAGTAGAAAGAATGCAAGGGTTCTCACCTGAATTACATACAATATATTTTTTAAAAAACCAGGTTGGAATTTTTTTAAAAATCTAGTATCTAACGGGGTCAAAGCTTTTATTGGTTGACTGAGAGGGAGAGAGAATTCCAAGCAGACTCCATCCCCAGTGCAGAGCCCTGGCTGGGGATGGATCTCACAACCCTGAGATCATGACCTGAGCTGATATCAAGAGTTAGATGCTTAACTGACTGAGCCACCCAAGCAATGCTTGGGGGTCAAAGCTTTTAACATTATGCAACTACCTAATATTTAGAAAAGAATCATAAGAGCTGGTTTAAGATTTTACCAAAACTTATTGCAGAAGTTAATGATTATTTACAGAATAGCAAATATCCAATACACTAACATTTACCTCAATTTGGCTTAAAAAATGAATTAAATGCAAGAGACGTAGAAAGAAAAAGTAAATCCATTTCAAAGAAAAAGAAGCACTTTTAATATTGCTTTAAAAATCATCATGCAAGGAGCGATTCAGGAATTTCTAGTTCTAGTCCATCTCCCCATAGGATCCCAGGATAAGAGGGTGACCCATAAATGACTGACACAGGTCTCTCCCCTCTCTCTGGCTGATTAAGGGTTGCAAATGCAAGCTATCTTATGATGCTAATAATTATAAAATGCACGAGCCTTATAAACAGTAATTCTCTTTCTCAACTGTCCAATTCAAACGAGCAAATTTAAAGTTAAATACATTATGGAGACACAGGTCACTGCATCACAACTGAATCACCCATGACTCATTAACCACCACTCACCCAGATCTGCCTTCCCCTTCTTTCTCCCTCCGGAGGATTTCTGTCTATTACTCTGTTCATGTCTTTCTCTTTCCTGATTCTCTCCACTGTTTCTCCTTTCCTGTGATTCCCCGGTCTCCTCCCTCGCTTTCTCCCCTTTTCTCTCTTCCTTTCCCTACACCTACACTTTCCGGGGAACTCCTGAGACCTCTTCCACCTTCCCTCACTCTTTCAGCCCAAGCTTCCCGACTGCTCCGATCTCCGTCAATTTCGGCCTCTCTCCCCGCCCCGCCCCGCCCCCATCTGTGTCCTGGGCTCCCCCAGTTCCGTCCCCTCCGCCCCGACTCACTGGCGCCCCCTCTGGCTAAGCTCTCGCACCGCTGTGTCCCTCCGGGCGGTCATCCCTACCGATCGCAGGCTCGCAACCATTTCCTCCCCGCTGTCTGCGCGAAGCACCTCGCCCTGTTGCCCCACTTCCGATAACCAGGGCCCCGACTGTTCCGCTCCCCTTCTTCTGGAGCGCCTCCCTTTCCTCCACACTTCGCTCTTTTCCTTTCTCCGCTTGCGACCTTCCTGAGTTACTGTCTTCGCTCCCACGGCCTCACTGGCAGGTCCCTCCCGCACCCTCTCTCTTGCCGTCTCTTCACGGGCCGTCTCACGGGTCTTTCCTCCGCCGTTCTCTCTCTCGGGCTCCCCCTCTCTCCCTCGCCGGCCGCTGCCCGGGCCTTCCTTCTGCAGGCACGGCTTCCACGAGGCCCCCCATCCTCGCGGCGGGGAGGGGACGCGCTCCGTGACTCCCCGCGATCTTCCGCCCGAAAGCCCGCACCGAGGACGGCGCCGTCCCCGGGCATCGGTCCTCTCACTGCACGCGGGGCTGCACGGGGGGGATCTCAGCAGGGCGGCGGGGTCTGCGCGATCCCAGGGCCAGGGGGAGACTCCGCGCCTCTCTGGGCCGAGCCGGGCACTCGCCCATCTCCCCGGACCCCCACGGCGCGGGTGCGAGCGGTGCCCAGGGACGGCGTGGAGCAAGGAGACAACGCGGCAGGCGGCGTCTGAAGGCCCGAGGGCCGGGAGACCACAGGCGGGGACCGACTCCGAAAGATGGGGACCTGAACGCACCGGGACCCCCGCGCCGGCAGCGCCGCTCGCAGGGCTCCGTGCGTCTCTCCGCGACGCCCTACTTACCGCGGTGGGAGGCGGGGCTGAGGCGACTCTAACGTGCGCGGAGACCCCAGGCCCCAGGGGTGCAGGCCTGGGGACTGAGACGCTCACGTAGAAAAGAGAAAGTTCAAAACCCTCAGAGGCCAATTTGACGTTCGCTCCCTGCCAGCTGCTTCCGGGTCGGTGAAAAGCTGCGCTTGCGCGCCGGTGGAACGGCGGGATTGGGCAGGGCCCGCGGAGAGTGCTTCCGGTAATGAGCGGGGTGCGAACAGTGGCCTCGCTCTGACGCACACCGCCTGTGGGCGGGGCTGGGGCGAGGCCCAGATATTGCGCTTCCGGCAATAGGGGAACTCACGCCCTGCCCACACCTTGGCCCTAAACCCAGGGGGCAGGATGGGGCGGAGCTATGGAAGAGCGCTTCCGGTAATGGGAGTGAAACTGAAATGTCCCGCGGAGCCAAGATGTTGTGAGGGCGGGGCCAGGCGGAAACTGGGCGGAGAATTTCCGGCACTTGCCGAGTCGTCAGGTTTGCCCTAGCTAGGATTTCCGGAGAGAGGCCAGGACCCCTCAGCGGGGTGGGCGGGGCCTGGCTTCTTCTGGGGCCCGCCCCCAGGTCGTGTCTTTCTTGGAATTTCTAGTTTCTATTTCTTTTGCGTCCAGTGGGACGGGAGTACTTCCTGCCAATTTAAGTTCATGTTTTGAACAGTGAGGTAAAGATTGGAGTTGTGCAGTGAAATAAGTCAAACAGAGAAAGACATGTATCATATGACCTCACTGATATGAGGAATTCTTAATCGCAGGAAACAAACTGAGGGTTGCTGGAGTGGGGGGTGTGGTGGGAGGGAAGGGGTGACTGGGTGATAGACACTGGGGAGGGTATGTGCTCTGGTAAGTGCTGTGAATTGTGCAAGACTGTTGAATCTCAGATCTGTACCTCTGAAACAAATAATGCAATATATGTTAAGAAAAAAAAGAAGAAGAAGAAGAAGGTAGCGGGAGGGGAAGAATGAAGCGGGGGAAATCGGAGAGGCAGACGAACCATGAGAGACGATAGACTCTGAAAAACAAACAGGGTTCTAGAGGGGAGGGGGTGGGAGGATGGGTTAGCCTGGTGGTGGGTGTTGAGGAGGGCACGTTCTGCATGGAGCACTGGGTGTTATGCACAAACAATGAATCATGGAACACTTCATCTAAAACTAATGATGTAATGTATGGGGATTAACATAAGAATAAAAAAAAGAAGATTGGAGTTGCGCAGGACACGTGTGTTGAAAGTTAACATGGTTACATTTTAAGGGTGAAAGTGGCTTTCCTCAAAAACTGTTGTGAGGGGCGCCTGGGTGGCTCAGTCATTAAGCGTCTGCCTTTGGCTCAGGTCATGATCCCAAAGTCCTGGGATCGAGCCCCACATCGGGCTCCCTCCTCGGCGGGAAGCCTGTGTCTCCCTCTCCCACTCCCGCTGCTTGTGTTCCTGCTCTCGCTGTCTCTGTCTCTGTCAAATAAATAAATAAAATCTTTAAAAAAAAAAAAACAACAACTGTTGTGAGAATAAGAAACAACTTTTGGCAAGGATGTGGAGAAAAAGGAACCCTCCTGTACCGTTTATGGGAATGCAAACTGGTGCAGACACTGTAGAAGACAGTATGGATTTACTCCAAAATAGAAGTACCTTACTACCCAGTAATCGAACTAGTGGGTATTTACCCAAAGAATAGGTAAACACTAATTCAAAAGGATATATGCACCCATATGTTTATTGTAGCATTGTTTATAATAACCAAGTTATTGAAGCAAAGAAGTGTCCATCGACTGATGATTGGATGAGAAGATGTTATATATATATAATATATATATACGGAATATTACTCAGCCTTAAAATAGAGTGAAATCCTGCCATTGCAAGCATGCACAGCATGGATGGAACTAGATGGGATAATGCTAAGTGAAATAAGTCAGCCAGAGAAAGACAAATACCATATGATTTCACTCATATGTGGAATTTAAGAAACAAAGCAAAACAAAGGAAAAAAGGAACAAAAAACCAAACTCTTAACTACAGAGAAAAATTAATGGTTACCAGCAAGGAGGTAGGGGTGGGGGATGGGAAAAATAGGTGATGGGGATTAAGACTAAACCTATCATGAGTAATTTATAGGGTTGTCAAATCACTATATTGTACACCTCAATATAACACTGAATGTTACCTATATTGGAATTAAAATTAAAAACTTAATTTAAAAAAACCTCTTTTGATGAAGAGATAGAGATGCATGTCTTGGGAGAGGTGAGCTGGAATCGGTGGTCTGGGACCAGGTCCTCCATGGGGAGTTATGTGGGATCATGGCTGGACTATCTCCTGCATTAGAATTTAAGCAATTTAAGCAAGCAAGGAATGCACCTGTCTGTGCAGCATATGCAAACTGAAATGTGAAATGCAAAACTATGCTAAATGTACCATTATTTACCAACATTTTTCAGAACGTAATTTCCATTTCTATCCCCATTAACCATGTACTCAATCATGTACTCATTTTCAGAGACGTTCACAGGCATAAGACCTGGAGTGTGGGAGATGAGGGATAGATTTAGGTCACCAACTACTGGTTTAAAAAAAAAATTTTTTTTAAGGTAGATCTAACTCAAGTTGTTCTTTATATTTATCAACACATTCCACACTTGAGGTGACTGATAAACTCAAATTACTTTCAAGTAAACCTTTGTGACATCATAATGCATTTCTAAACATTATTTCTAAACATAATTTCAAATTCACTTTACTTATATATAGTTTTATTAGTATATATAATTAGTATATATTAGTATATATATTAGTATTGTATTATTAGTCTATATATTAGTATTATGTTATATTAGTACATATATTGGTATATAAGTATATATATTAGTATTATATTAGCAAATATACTAGTATATGTTAGTTTATATTAGTATATGTTATATATAACTATATGTAGCTATAGTTTAGTATTATGTTATATATTATAGCATATTATATATAATTATATATATTATTTTATAATTATATTTATAATATAATTAATATAAATAATTATATTATGGCAAGATTTCACTCTTTTTTATGGCTGAATAATATTCCATTGTGTGTGTATATAAATCAATATGTATTATATATTTTAATTATATATTTTATATATATATATCTCACATCTTCTTTATTCATTCAATTCTCAATGGATACTTGTGCTGCTGCCATATCTTGGCTATTGTAAATAATGCTGCTTTAATCATATGGGTACATATATCCCTTTGAATTAGTGTTTTTGTATTCTTTGGGTAAATACTCAGTAGTGTGATTGCTGGATCGTTAGGTAATTCTATTTTTAACTTTTTGAGGAATCTCCATACTGTTTCCACAGTGGCTGCACCAGTTTGCATTCCCACCAACAATAGTGCGCAAGGGTTCCTTTTTCTCCAAGTCCTTGCCAACACTTGTTGTTTCTTGTGTTGTTGATTTTAGACATTCTCACAGGTGTGAGGTAATATCTCATTGTAGCTTTGATTTGCATTTCCCTGATGGTAAGTGATGATGAACATCTTTTCATGTGTCTCTTGGCCATCTGGATATCTTCTGCCAAATTCATTTTACTTTTATCCAAAGTAAATAATGTATTTTCATTAAAAAATTATTTTATATTTTAGCACTTTGTTCTTTTTCTATTTCATTTTGTATAAAAAGACTTTTAATATATTAAATTCATAAGGTTTCATTGCCATATACATTATGTGGCATTTCATAAGCTTTAAAGCAATGTTTATAGTCTTGATGTTCGTTACATTTGAATTCCTTAGCATTTACTAAAATTTGAGTTATTATTGCTCATAAAATCTTAAGTTTTCATTCCAAAATTAACATTGTGATGATCCCACAAAGATTGAATTTTGGATGAAAACATTGCCATGTATATTACATTTTATGATTTCTCTGAGGTAGTTATTTACTGATTTTTAGTAATGTTTTACTCTTGCTTAAATATAGTGCCCATTCAGTATAATTTTAAGATCTCCCCGGTATGAATGTCTGTTTAGTGAAAATTCATCCTAAAGGCTTTGCAAGTTAATTACTTTTGCAGTTTTTTTTCTAATAACTGTGATATTTTGTTATCAATAAAGAACCTTTATGCAAATGTTGGTTTTGACACTAGGAAGAATTCTTTCAGGTTGTAACAGTAAGGAACCATTTTGACATATTTCTTTACTTGATTACATTTATAATGTGCATCCTTGTTTTTAAATGTAAGTCACCCAGATATAACTGAAAAGAGAATCCAATCATATTGTCATATCATTCCATGAATTTGTTTCCTGCACATTAAAAAAAAAATAGTGTTGGGGATAGATTTGGGGATCTTGCAGAAGGTAGATTATAGAGATTAGCTGTACTATGTAATATTGTCAACCATCCATGTTGGTTTCAGCATGGACTCCCATGTTCACAAGCAAACTTCCATCAAACTCTGGACATTGTGGAACTTTCATCAAACTCTTAATTGGGGGGAAGCCAATTATAGGTGAAAGTCATGAACCCATTTTGTTTATGGGGAATTTTGTTGCTTATAAAATTTACAAGTCAGCAAAATGAACACATTCACAGGGGGAAAAAGAATATTTCCTCAGTCACAGGAAAACATTGATATGTGTCGTCCTGTTATATCATTATAAAACAGATGCAAATTATTAAAAATTGAAGATTTCAAAATCATTAGACTTCAAATTTTACTAGTTTAACTAGGTGAACTAAAAATTAAACTCTATCACAAAAACAGAGTATACATTTTTTAAGCACACATGGGACATACGATATTTATCACTATCAAAATTTTAAAATCTAGGGGCACCTGGGTGGCTCAGTCATTAAGCATCTGCCTTCAGCTGAGGTCATGATCCCAGGGTCCTGGGATTGAGCCCCACATCCAGCTCCCTGCTCAGCGGGAAGCCTGCTTCTTCCTCTCCCACTACCCCTGCTCGTGTTCCCTCCCTCGCTGTCTCTCTCTCTGTCAAATGAACAAATAAAATCTTTTTTTTTAAAGATTTTATTTATTTGAGAGAGAGAATGAGAGAGAAAGAGTGTGACGGGGGGAGGGTCAGAGGGAGAAGCTGACTCTCCGCGGAGCAGGGAGTCTGATGCGGGACTTGGTTCTGGGACTCCAGGATCACGACCTGAGCCAAAGGCAATCACTTAGCCAACTGAGCCACCCAGGCGCCCATAAATAAAATCTTTTAAAAAAATTAAAAATCTAGGCTTAGATAAGGAGAGACATATACAAAACATTCTTGCAATAGAGAAATTTCTCTGATCACAAAATGTACACAGGTCTCAAGGTCAGACAGAAGAAAAGGTTTTCTTTTCTAAAAAGGAGTAAACAACACTAGCAAGAAGAAGAGATGTGGTAGCATATGAGCAGCAACCTATAGTTGATCAGGGAAAAGATTTTTATTTATTATAGAGAGAGAGTGGGGAGAGGGACAGAGGGAGAGGAAGAGAGAGAATCCCAAGCAGACTCCCTGATGAGTGCAGAGCCTGAAGCAGGGCCTGATGCAGAGCCATGGGGGGTTTGATCCCAAGAACCATGAGATCATGACCTACACCGAAATCGCAAGTCAGACACTTAACTGACTGAGCCACCCAGGTACACTGATCAGGGAATATTTTACCCTGAGGTCAGCCCTCTCTTTTCAGGGGCTATTAGCAGGAAGGGTTTTTCCTAATTACAATGCTTAAGGATAGGCCAATGTTCAGGGACCTTGGGAGAAGGAGAGAAAGAAAGAAAGAAAGAAAGAGAAAGAAAGAAAGAGGGAGAGAGGGAGGGAAGGAGGGAGGAAGGAAGAAAAGACATTTCATGCTAAGGGATTGGAAGAACAAATATTGTTAAAATGTCTATACTACCCAAAGCAATCTACACATTTAATGCAATCCTTGTCAAAATATCAGCAGCATTTTTCACAGAACTAGAGCAAACAATTCTAAAATTTGTATGGAACTGCAGAAGACCCTGAAGAGCCAAAACAATTTTGAAAAAGAAAAGCAAAGCTGGAGTCATCACAAGTCTGGACTTCAAGTTATATTACAAAGCTGTAGTAATGAAAACAGTATGGTACTGGCACAAAAATATTCACATAACTCAATGGAACAGAATATAAAGTCCAGAAATAAACCCATAATTATGTGGTCACTAAATATGAGATCTGAAACTATAAAAATCACTATGAGACCTGAAACTGTAAAAATCCTAGAATAGAACACAGGCAGTAACCTCTTCCACACTGGCCATTGCACTTTTTCCTAGATATGTCTCTTGAGGCAAGGGAACAAAAGGAAAAATAAACAAATGGGACTTCATCAAAATAAAAAGCTTCTGCACAGAGAAGAGAACAGTCAACAAAAACTCAAAAGGCACCCTACAGAATGGGAGAAGATATTTGCAAATGACATATCTGGTAAAGGGCTAGTATCTAAAATATATAAAGAACTTATAAAACTCAACACCCAAAAAACAACTAATCCAAATTAAAAATGAGAAGACATGAATAGACATTTCTCTAAAGAAGACATCCAGATGGCCAAGAGACACATGAAAAGATGTTCATCATCACTTACCATCAGGGAAATGCAAATCAAAACTACAATGAGATATCGCCTCACACTTGTGAGAATGTCTAAAATTAACAACACAAGAAACACGTGTTGGCAAGGACTTGGAGAAAAAGGAACCCTTGTGCACAGTTGGTGGTGGGAATGCAAACTGGTGCAGCCACTGTGGAAAAGAGTATGGAGATTCCTCAAAAAGTTAAAAATAGAAATACCTAATGATCCAGCAATCACACTACTGAATATTTACCCAAAGAATACAAAAACATTAATTCAAAGGGATACAAGCCCTCCTATGGTTATAGCAGCATTATTTACAATAGCCAAGATATGGAAGCAGCCCAAGTGTCGACTGATTGATACATGGAGTGTGGTATATATGTACCTTGAATTATTCAGCCATAAAAAGAATGAAATCTTGCCATTTCCAATGACACGGGTGGACGTAGAGAGTATAATGCCAAGCAAAGTAACTCAAAGATAAATAACTTATGATTTCACTCATATGTGGGATTTAGAAACAAAACAAATGAGCAAAGGGAAAAAGGAGGGGAGGAGGGGACAAACAGAGAAACAGACTCTTCATTATAGAGAACAAGCTGATGATTACCAGAGGGGAGGAGGGTGGGAGGGATGGGTTAGGTAGGTGATGGGGTTTAAGGAGCGCCCTTGTGGTGAACACAGGGTGATGTATGAAAGTGTTGAAACACTATATTGTACACCTGAAGCAAATATAACACTGTGTTAACTAACTGGAATTTTAAAACTTTTAAAAAGTAGTCTTCAGTTCCCTTAATCTTTTCTATTGTTTTTTCCTATTTCATTTATTTCTGTGCTGATCACTGTTATTTCTTTCCTTCTGCTAACTTGGGGTTATTTTCTTCTTTTTCTTGTGCCTTGAGGGGTGAAGTTTGAAATTTTTTTTCCTTAATGTAGGTATTGTTATCAACATTCCTCTTAGAATTTCTTCTGATCCATCCCATAAGTTTTGTCAGGGTGTGTTTCTATTTTCATTTGTTTCAGAATATTGTTTCTCTTTTGATTTCTTCTTTGACTCCTCAGTTGTTGAGTAGTGTGTTAATTTCCACATATTTGTGACCTTTCCATTTTTAATCCTGTTATCATTTGTTTCATACTATTGTGTCCAGAAAAGATAATTGGTATGATTTCAATCTTATATTTACTAAGATGCATTTTGTAGACCTAACATAGGACCTATCCTGGGCAATGTTGTGTGTGTGCTTGAGAAGAATGCATATTCTGGTTCTGTTGTATGAAATAATCTGCATATGTCTGTCAGGTCCTTTTGGTCTGAAGAATAGCTCAAGTCCAATGTTTTTGTGTTGATTTTCTGTCAAAATATTCTAGCCATTGTTGCAAGTAGGGTATTGAAGTTTCCTACACTTACTGCTATTTATTATTGCCTTTAGATCTGTTAGTATTTGCTTGATATATTTAGGTACTCCAGTGTTAGATGTATATATGTTTACAATTGTTATATCCTCTTGATGAATCGATCCCTTTTTATTATATAATCACTTTGTCTTGTTACAGCTTTGGACTTGAAGTTTATTGTATCTCATATAACTAGAGCCACTCCTGCTTTCTTTTGGTTTCCATTTGCATGGAATATCTCTTTCCATCCCCACACTTTGAGGCTATGTGTATCCTTAAATCTCAACTCTTTTGTCAGCAGCATTCACTTGAGTGTTTTTTGTTTTTGTTTTTTTGAGTAAAGTGATAGTAGTTTATTAAGTGAAGATACAGAAAAAGCTCTCAGTAGTGAGAGGGGTCCCAACAGGGTTGCAAAGGGAGAGGTTTTTTTTTTTTTTTTTTTAAGCCATCCAGTCACTGTATGTTGATTGGATAATTCATTCATTTACATTCAGACTAATTATTGATAGGTAAGGGCTTAGTGATGCCATCTTACCAATTGCTTTTCTGGCTAATTTGTAGTTCCCTTATTCCTCTTTTTCCTCCTTCTGACTTTCTTTAGGAATTGATAATTTCCTATAGGGGTATGTCTTAATTTCCTTTTCTTTTTATGTGTATGTATTGTAGGGTTTTGCTTTGTTGTTATCACAAGGCTTACACAAACCATCTCATAGATCAAAGTCTATTTTATGCTGATAACTTAAATTTGATTGCACATAAAAACTTTACTATTTGGGGCACCTGGTTGGCTCAGTCGATAGAACATGCAACTCTCGATCTCAGGGTTGTGAGTTCAAGGCCCACAGTAGGTGTAGAGATTACTTAAAAAATGAAAAATTTTTTTAGAAAAGAACTTTATTCTTTATTCCCAACATTTTGTTTTTGATGTCACTCTTTTTACATTGTAAGTGCATTAATGAACATTGTGTGTGTGCGTATATATATATGTGTATATATATATGCATATATTTTTTTTCTTTTGCCTTTCATAAAGTATTCTGAATTTGACTATATACTTTACCAGTGTTTTCTATTTTCATATTACTAATTTCATTCTCATTTCAGTTTGAAATCCAAAGTCTGCGCATCCTCAAAACAGTTTCTCTTAATTTCTTTCTTCTCCTCCTTCTTTTTCTTCTCTGTGACTGAGCCATACTTTTGTTTCTTTGCATTCCTCACAATTTTGTTGAAAACTTGCTTTTAAAATATAATGAGGAACTCTAGAAATCAGATTCTCCTTCTTCTTTAGGGTTTGTTTTTGCTGATTGTTGTGGGTTATAATTTGTTTAGTGACTTTTCCAAACAAATTTTGTAAAGGCTCTCTCCATTATCATGTGTGATAAATGTAGTCTCTCTTCCATTAGCTTAGTTATCATATTGTGGTTTGACAGAAATTTCACCAAATGCCTAGAGCTAAAAGAAAGAAAAGAGGAAAAGAAAAAGAGGAGGAAAAGAAAACAGATTATTTTCCATTTGTTTGCAGATTTGCTCTTAGTTGTGATACTCCAACTCTTAGCCAGGCTATTTAACACTCTGTCTTTACCTTCACTTTCTGTGTGTGCAGAGCCAGATGAAATAGCTTATGGTTTTCTCAGGTACTTTATTCTCCAGTATCTGTGGACTTTATTCCACACACATTTTTTTCTCTTCAGTCTCTCCCCATGCGTTTGGTCTTTCTAATGCTTGTCCCATCATCCCTTGTCCCAGTCTGCTATGGTCCATACTTTTGCTTTTAAATGCTGTATGATTCTCACTGAAGTTTGCCAATGAGAAAAACCTATATGGAATTTGGAAGGCAAAAGTGAAGCAGAAAATGTTAATCTCAGGAGAAACCAGTGACCAGATAAAGATTTTGCAGACCTTCTCACCAGCTCTAACTACATATTTAAGGCAACCAGAGGCAGTAACTTCTCAAACATATGCATGATCTTTGGCTTCTCCACCCACCATGGGGCTTTAGGATGTAGTTACCAGTGACTTACTCTATGATCCACCAGTTTTTCATACATTTCACTGCTCAAACTCCTTCTAAACTCTTGACTTAATTTATATAATTCTTACTCTTATATAATTGTATGTATATGTTCTCCTGACCAAACACAGATTGTTACAATACCTCAGAATATTACTATTTCTGTATTTTCAAAGTCTAAAAATCTCAACCAGCATGACTGTATTGGTTCCATGGCCCACTGGTCCTATCAATTCATCCCAATGAAAGAGCAATTTTGATATTTCAAAATCTAGTAAAGGAACTCTGATGCTTAAAAATATTGAATGGATGGGACAACTGGAAATCTACATGGAAAAGAATGAAGCTGGACCCCTACCTCATACCATATACAAAAGGTAGACACAAGAGGCCACACATTATATGATTTCATTTATATGAAATGCCCAGAATTGGGACAAACATAGAAATTACAGTGCTGGTTTCCAAGGGGTGGGGGTGTGGAGTGTTAAGAGTATGGGGTTTTTTGTAGGGTGATGAAATTGTTCTGGAGTTAGTACTGATAGGTTTTACAAAATTGTGAATAAACAAAAAGCCACTTAATTGCACACTGTTAAGGTATCAATTTTATGGCATGTGAATTATATATAAATAAAATGAACAAATATCTAATGTATTTACATTGAATTCAGGAAAACATTCTGACAGACTGACTCTGGGCTCAAGACCTTGGAGATATAGGGCCCAATCTCCACTGCAGAAGTGATGATGATAGCAATTTTAATGGCAGGAAAAGAATGAATTTTATATACTTTTCCAGTGAAATGAGCATATTTTTAACCAAAATTCCAGTGTGACTTTCAGGGAAGCATTTAGATCTCCTGCCTTCACATTTCAAGATGTCAGTTCATCTTGTACCACTGCAGTTATTAACACTGAACTAAAGACATAAAGGACCCTCTTTCTTTACATTCACAAAGCACTTATTTTGTACCTCCCATTTTTATGTTACAGAAGTTTCAAAACCACCCCTTTGTCATACAGCCTCCAAATTTTTTACTGACTAAAGGGGTGAAATGTAAATTACATATATAAAAATTGATTTAAAACACGTGGAGGGAAAAGTGGTAAGGAAAAATTTTATAAGAAAATTAAAATGAATTTCCAACACAGTTGAAAAAGAACCATGAACCATAAGGCTTGTTACCATAATTTCAAATTTAGATTTTTCTAGGCTTTAAAAAATTGCTCTCCTAGTAAAATCCTTAAATCATATTTATTGTCTGATAAAACTTCTACACATTAATTTTCATGAAAATACCACAAAAATATCACAATTTATCTAAAGAGTATTTCACAAACATGTTCAATAACATATTGTATAAAGAATCCTACCTGTGCAGCAGCAAAGGAAATGCAGTTATTAGCATGAGGAAAATTGTGGTCTTTCCCAACCAAGGAGTGAGACACTTCAAAAGTAAATGTTCAGTGTTGAATTAGTCTAACCTCATTTTTATTATTTGACTATTAACAGCTTTAAGTCTCCCATCCCTCCTCCCATTCTACCTCACACCTATGTAGGCTGATTAGAAAGGCTGTGTACTCTTTCTTTGTCACCGGTGGAAAGTTTAAGCCACATTCAGTACCCTCTCCTCAGCTCCACCATAAAAGCCCCATAACAACAAATCTGGAGAAGAGGGTCCTTAACACATTAATCATGACTTAGATCATAGTTTTACATCTCTTATATGCCACTCATGCTGTCATTCAAATTTATATTATATTGGATTATAAATTCAGTGTTCTTGTTCTTCCAGGAAATTCTGGACATGAATGAACATCACCTAATGAAGTCTGCCCTTTTATCTTATTAAACCTTTCCAAGAGATCTTCATGGTAACATGAAAGGACTGTAATGAAAGTATATTATCAACAGATTTCAAACCTCAGGATGAAAATCATTGATAGTAATTTGGCCTTTTCAAGAAACCCGAAAGAAACTATTTAATAAAATGAAGGTAACAGGACCTTTCCACGGGGATCCTTGTAACTTTGACAGCCATTATAGGTATTATAATTTTGATTTTTAATTAATCAATTATCAATTATTAAATTTATTTAGAATTTAATTGAATAATCTTTCAGAAGAAGAGACTGTTTTCTCTACTATGAATTATCTGATGTGTAGCCGATTGTGAGAAATGGTTAAATAATTTATCACATTCATTACAGTTTTAAGGTTTCTCTACAATGTAAATTCTTTGGTGAATCCTGAGGTCAGATCGTTGTCTAAAGGCCTTACCATTTTCAATACATTTTTGTTTTCTCTCTGATGTGAATTCTCTCATGACCCCTTGGGTAAACATCTGAACATCTCATAAAAGTTTAACACATTCATTACATTTATAAGGTTTCTCTCCAGTAGGGGATAATATTACATATGCTTGATCTTTGGATAAAAGCCTTGCCACACCCATTACATTTTTGTGCTTTCTTTCAAAGATGCATATTCTGGTGTCTAATTAACTCTGAGCCCTGGTTACAGGCTTTGCCAAATACATGACTTTTACATGGCTTCTGTTCAGTATGGATTCTTTGATGTCGAGTAAGGCTTGAACACACATTAAAGGTTTTGCTACACACATGACATTTGTGAGGTTTCTCTTCACTACAAATTCTCTGATAATCCCCAGTGCTTGATCTTTGGATAAAAGCATTTCCACATATATTAGGTTTACAATGTTTCTTTTCAGTATGCGTTTTCTGATGTCTAATAAGATTTGCAAATTGGGTAAAGGCCTTGTCACATTCATTACATTTATAAGGCTTCTCCCCAGTATGGATTCTTTGATGTCGGGTAAGGCTTGAACACACATTAAAGGCTTTGCCACACTCATTACATTTATAAGGCTTCTCTCCAGTATGAATTATCTGATGTATGACAAGGTTAGAGGACTGGTTAAAGGCTTTGCCACATTCCTTACATTTGTAAGGCTTTTCTCCACTATGGATTCTCTTATGTTGAGTAAGGCTTGAACGCTCCATAAAGGCTTTGCCACACTCATCACATATGTAAGGCTTCTCGCCTGTATGAACTCTCTGATGAATTATAAGATTTGAATGTTGACTACAGACCTTGTCACATATATTACATTTATATGGTTTCTCTCCAGTATGGATTCTCTGGTGTCTAGTGAGGTGTGATATGCGGTTAAAGGATTTGTCACACTCATTACATTTGTAAGGTCTCTGCCCAGAATGAATTCTCTGATGATTGGTGAGATTCGAGCTTCCTCTAAAAGTCTTCCCACATTCATTACATTTATAAGGTTTCTCTCCAGTATGGATTCTCTTATGTCGAGTAAGGCTTGAATACTCAGAAAAGACTTTGCCACACTCATTACATTTGTAAGGTTTCTCTCCAGTATGAATTTTCCAATGCCGTGCAAGATTTGAATTTTGACTACAGCCCTTGCCACATATATTACATTGATATGGTTTCTCTCTGGTATGGATTCTCTGATGTCTAGTAAGTTTTGCAAATTGGGTAAAGGCTTTGCCACACTCATTACATTTGTAAGGCCTCTGCTCAGAATGAATTCTCTGATGACTAATGAGGTTTGAGCTTTCTCTAAAAGCCTTCCCACAGTCATTACATTTGTAAGGTTTTTCACTAAGAGGTGTTTTTTGATGTGTAAGTAATGAAGCATGCATAAAAAGTTTCCCAGATTTATTACAAATGTTCATGTTGATGCTAGGAGGAATTCTTTGAAGGGGTGAAACAGAACTACTGTTGATCAACTCCTCAACTTGATTATATTCATAAATTTTCTCTTCAGTTTGAAAATTCTGAAGGTCAGCCAGATGCAACTGAAACTTTAATCCAATTCCATTTTCAAAACATTTTATATACTTGTTTCCTGCACAGGTTATGTTATTTTTTAGTTTTAACAAATACCTTTTATATGACTTCTCATGTTTGTAATATTGATAAGTACTTTTTCTTACAGAAACACTCTGCTTTAGAGGGAAATCATTCCAGGATTTGTTATGCCGTTGATCTCTTCTACCAGTGAAATTTTGGTTATGGGCTGCGGTTACTCCTTTGTAATTTGTTTCATCATATGTATACTGACTTTCAAACTCATGCATATTTTGCTGGACTTCTCTGAAACCCAAATCCTTGATGTCATTTCTTTTGTGTCTTTCCAACATCAATGTTTGGAATAATTCTTCTTTGTTAATATCCTCTTTTGGTGATAATTCCTTAATCATACTTCTAACAGAGATATCTGAAAGATATAAAGAACCATAGGTTTCCTATTAATAGAGTTATAAAGTGAATATTTTATCTTGAAAACATAATATTAGGCCAAAAGTAATGCTTATATAGTTATAAAACTTCTCAACCATAGTATGCAAATATTTAGGAATAAAGGGAATCGGATTCCTCAATCAAGAAAGGGTGTTTACACATAGATAAAATTATTTTCAGGAAAGCCTAGTTCCAACACCCTATGATCAAACCACTTAGAGTATTTACATAAGCCCTGAAACAAGTGGTATCTTTCTGTTGCCACCCCAAAGTACTCACCAATTGGCACTAGACATTTGGGTGTTTCATATTTGAAGGAAAGCAATATTATATTAATGCATATACACATACCTAATTATTTAGGTACAATTATAAAGGCTAAAGGAGAGGACTACATACTGTAATGGTAAATACTATCTTAAACTTATCTAACAAAAAATGGCAATTCACAATTATAAGATAAAAATAGCACTGAGAAAATGAGAACCTGATAAAACACCATTGTAAGAATAACAAAATATTGGTCTGAATTTCTATAATTAAACTATCTATATTCATGCAGAATAGGCATTTTACAACATTAACCATTGGTGCATGACAGTCATAATACATAAAAGATATTTAAAAACCATTACCTGTAAGTCATAGTAAAAATGAATCACACATTTTAGAAACCCACAGTAAATCCAGAAGATAAATAATAAGCCAACACAATTACAAACCATTATAATCTGTGGCATTCTAAAGACTTCTTCCTTCAGAACAAAGGATAGGGCTCCTATTCCAGAAGGAATACATAATATGAGCATTGAAACCTATGTTAAGAACCACTGACTTTTTAAATATCTGGTTCAGGTACATACATAATATTTTAAGATGAAGAATTTGGGAAGGCAATCAGAAATCAGAATTATGATTTCATACCTGCAATTAACAACCAATAGAGCTATTTTCTTTTCCTTTTCTTTTTAACTTAATTTTATTATATTATGTTAATCACCTTACATTACATCATTAATTTTTGATGTAGTGTTCCATGATTCATTGTTTGCGTGTAACACCCAGTGCTCCATGCAGAATGACCCTCTTTAGTACCCATCACCAGGCTAACCCATCCACCCACCCCCCTCCCCTCTAGAACCCTGTTTGTTTCTCAGAGTCCATAGTCTCTCATGGTTCATCTCCCCCTCCAATTTCTCCCCCTTCATTTTTCCCTTCCTACTTTTTTTTTTTTTAAACATATAATGTATTATTTGTTTCAGAAGTACAGGTCTGTGATTCAACAGTCCTACACAATTCACAGCGCTCACCATAGCACATACCTTCCCCAATGTCTATCACCCAGCCACCCCATCCCTCCCACCGCCCCCCCCCCTCCCGCAACCCTCAGTTTGTTTCCTGAGATTAAGAATTCCTCATATCGGTGAGATCATATGATACATGTCTTTCTCTGATTGACTTATTTTGCTTAGCATAATACCCTCTAGTTCTATTCACGTCGTTGCAAATGGCAAGATTTCTTTTTTTTTTTTTTTTGATGGCTGCATAATATTCCATCATGTGTGTGTGTGTGTCTTGGCTCTTTCCATAGTTTGGCTATTGTGGGCATTGCTGCTATAAACACTGAGGTGCACGTACCCCTTTGGATCATTACATTTGTATCTTTGGGGTAAATACCCAGTAGTGCAATTGCTGGGCCATATGGTAACTCTATTTTCAACTTTTTGAGGAACCTCCATACTGTCTTCCACAGTGGCTGCACCAGCTTGCATTCCCACCAACAGTGTAGGAGGGTTCCCCTTTCTCTGCATCCTCGTCAACATCTGTCGTTTCCTGACTTGTTAATTTTAGCCATTCTGACTGGTGTGAGGTAGTATCTCATTGAGGTTTTGATTTGGATTTCCCTGATGCCGAGCGATGTTGAGCACTTTTTCATGTGTCTGTTGGCCATTTGGATGTCTTCTTTGGAAAAATGTCTGTTCATGTCTTCTACCCATTTCTTGATTGGATCATTTGTTCTTTGGATGTTGAGTTGGTAAGTTCTTTATAGATTTTGGATACTAGCCCTTTACCTGATATGTCATTTGCAAATATCTTCTCCCATTCTGTCAGTTGTCTTTTGGTTTCGTTGACTGTTTCCTTTGCTGTGCAGAAGCTTTTTATCTTGATGAAGTCCCAATAGTTCATTTTTGCCCTTGCCTCCCTTGCCTTTGGCGATGTTTTTAGGAGGAAGTTGCTGCGGCTCAGGTTGAAGAGGTTGCTGCCCGTGTTCTCCTTTAGGATTTTGATGGAGTCCGGTCTCACATTTGGGTCTTCCAACCATTTTAAGTCTATTTTTGTGTGGTGTAAGGAAATGGTGCAGTTTCATTCTTCTGCATGTGGCTGTCCAATTTTCCCAACACCATTTGTTGAAGAGACTGTCTTTTTTCCATTGGACATTCTTTCCTGCTTTGTCGAAGATTAGCTGACCATAGAGTTGAGGGTCCATTTCTGGGCTCTCTATTCTGTTTCATTGATCTATGTGTCTGTTTTTATGCCAGTACCATACTGTCTTGATGATTACAGCTTTGTAATAGAGCTTGAAGTCCGGAATTGTGATGCCACCAGCTTTGCTTTTCTTTTTCAACATTCCTATTCGGCTATTCGGGGTCTTCCCTGGTTCAATACAAATTTTAGGATTATTTGTTCCATTTCTTTAAAAAAAGTTGATGGTATTTTGATAGGGATTGCATTAAACGTGTAGATTGCTCTAGGTAGCATTGACATCTTCACAATATTTGTTCTTCCAATCCATGAGCATGGAACGTTTTTCCATTTCTTTGTGTCTTCTTTAATTTCTTTCAAGAATATTCTATAGTTTTCTGAGTACAGATTCTTTTCCTCTTTGGTTAGATTTATTCCTAGGTATCTCATGGTTTTGGGTGTAATTGTAAATGGGATCGACTCCTTAATTTCTCTTTCTTCTGTCTTGTTGTTGGTGTATAGAAATGCAACTGATTTCTGTGCATTGATTTTATATCCTGCCACTTTACTGAATTCCTGTATGAGTTCTAGCAGTTTTGGGGTGGAGTCTTTGGGGTTTTCCACATAAAGTATCATATCATCTGCAAAGAGTGAGAGTTTGACTTCTTCTTTGCCAATTCGGATGCCTTTTATTTCTTTTTGTTGTCTGATTGCTGTGGCTAGGACTTCTAGCACTATGTTGAATAGCAGTGGTGACAGTGGACATCCCTGCTGTGTTCCCGACCTTAGGGGGAAAGCTTTCAGTTTTTCCCCATTGAGAATGATATTCACTGTGGGTTTTTCATAGATGGCTTTTATGATATTGAGGTATGTACCCTCTATCCCTATACTCTGAAGAGTTTTAATCAAGAAAGGATGCTGTACTTCGTCAAATGCTTTTTCTGCATCTACTGAGAGGATCATATGGTTCTTGTTCCTTCTTTTATTAATGTATTGTATCACATTGATTGATTTGCAGATGTTGAACCAACCTTGAAGCCCAGGGATAAATCCCACTTGGTCATGGTGAATAATCCTTTTAATGTACTGTTGGATCCTACTGGCTAGTATTTTGGTGAGAATTTTTGCATCCATGTTCATCAGGGAGATTGGCTGGTAATTCTCCTTTTTGATGGGGTCTTTGTCTGATTTTGGGATCAAGGTAATGCTGGCTCATAAAATGAGTTTGGACATTTTCCTTCCATTTCTATTTTTTGGAACAGTTTCAGAAGAATAGGTATTAATTCTTCTTTAAATGTTTGGTAGAATTCCCCTGGGAAGCCATGTGGCCTCGGGCTTTTGTTTGTTGGGAGATTTTTTATTACTGCTTCAATTTCCTTAGTGGTTATAGGTCTGTTCAGGTTTTCTATGTCTTCCTGGTTCAGTTTTGGTAGTTGATACATCTCTAGAAATGCATCCATTTCTTCCAGATTATCTAATTTGCTGGCATATAGTTGCTCATAATATGTTCTTATAATTGTATTTCTTTGGTGTTGGTTGTGATCTCTCCTCTTTCATTCATGATTTTATTTATTTGGGTCATTTCTCTTTTCTTTTTGGTAAGTCTGGTCAGGGGTTTATCAATCTTATTTATTCTTTCAAAGAACCAGCTCCTAGTTTCGTTGATCTGTTCTACTGTTCTTTTGGTTTCTATTTCATTGATTTCTGCTCTGATGTTTATTATTTCTCTTCTGCTGGGTTTAGGCTTTATTTGCTGTTCTTTCTCCAGCTCCTTTAGGTGTAGGGTTAGGTTGTGTATTTGAGACCTTTCTTGTTTCTTGAGAAAGGCTTGTATTGCTATATACTTTCCTCTTAGGACCGCCTTTGCTGCATCCCAAAGATTTTGAACGGTTGTGTTTTCATTTTCATTGGGTTCCATGAATTTTTTTAATTCTTCTTTAATCTCCTGGTTGACCCATTCATTCTTTAGTAAGATGCTCTTTAGCCTCCATGTATTTGAGTTCTTTCCGACTTTCCTCTTGTGATTGAGTTCTAGTTTCACAGCATTGTGGTCTGAAAATAGGCAGGGAATGATCCCAATCTTTTGGTACTGGTTGGGCCCTGATTTGTGACCTAGGATGTGATCTATTCTGGAGAATGTTCCATGGGCACTAAAGAAGAATGTGTATTCTGTTGCTCTGGGATGGAATGTTCTGAATATATCTGTGAAGTCCATTTGGTCCAGTGGGTCATTTAAAGTCTTTACTTCCTTGTTGATCTTTTGCTTAGATGATCTGTCCATTTCAGTGAGGGGGATGTTAAATTCCCCTACTATTATTGTATTGTTGTCGATATGTTTGATTTTATTAATTAATTGCCTTATATAATTGGCTGCTCCCATGTTAGGGGCATAGATATTTAAAACTGTTAGATCTTCTTGTTGGATAGACCCTTTAAGTAGGATATAGTGTCATTCCTCATGTCTTATTATAGTCTTTGGTTTAAAATCTAATTTGTCTGATATAAGGATTGCCA